GGTCATGACGGCCCGTAGCTAGGGGACCCTAGCTGAGATGCACTCTTGGCCCATCGGAGCGGAGCCTCAACTGGGAGGCACACTGGGGCCGTGAAACTCCTCACGGCCCATCGGAACAGAGACACACTGGGGCAGCACACTAAGGCCGTGAGATGCCTCACGGCCATTCAGTACAGGGCCCAAAGTGTTGCCCTACACAGAGCGCAAGCTCACAGAGCCAAGACAGCCTTGTCAGCTTTGCTGGCATGACTGCTCTGCAAAGCCCAGCTCACAGGGTCATGACGGCCCGTAGCTAGGGGGCCCTGCAGAGCGCAGCTCTGGACTAGAGCTGGACTACTACACTGGACTATTATATAAAATGTCATTAAAGCAAATACAATTATAGTTAGATGTTCAGATGTCATTATGCCCCCCCACCTCCTGTTCTCTGCCTGCTTCTTATTTCCTTTCAGTTTCCTGATCTATTCACATCTTATTTTGGTTTCTGTTGTCCTCTATACTCTAGAAAAGAAACAAATATAAGACAAAATTGAATATTATTTAGCAACTAGAAAACTGCATTTTCTGAAGAAAATGCGTATGGATGCTGAGTGCTGAAAGATGCCCCTGAAAGGGCTGAACATTTTGTCACCTGAATGGTTTTTCTAGCTGAAAGTATGCTGAAGTAGAACTTTCCCATTCATTTGAATGGGGCAAGATTTTCAGAATAAAGCTAAATATTATAAAAGTATGAAGTTTAGAAAAGTTCTGAAGAGAAGCGTGGATGTCCTTGAGGAGCTGAACAGTTTGATAGCTGAAATAGCTGAAATTATGCTGAAGGTGAATTTTCCCATTCAATAGAATGGGGCAAAATTTTCAAAATAAAGCTAAATATTTCAAAAGTATGAAGTTTAGAAAAATTCTGCATGGAAGCATGAATGTCCTTGAAGAGCTAAACATGATACCTGAAATAGCTGAAAGTATGCTGAAGTAGAATTTTCCCATTCAATTGAATGGGGCAAAATTTTCAAAATAAAGCTAAATATTCCAAAAGTATGAAGTTTGAAGTTTAGAAAAGTTCTGAATAGAAGCATGATTGTCCTTGAAGAGCTGAACATTTTGATAGCTGAAAGTACACTGAAGTAGAATTTTCCCATTCATCTGAATGGGGCAAGATTTTCAAAATAAAGCTAAATATTTCAAGAGTATGAAACTTAGAAAACTTCTGAATAGAAGCATGAATGTCCTTGAGGAGCTAAACATTTTGATAGCTGAAAGTGAAGAGCTAACCGGGTCAGGTCCGCGCGGCCCTCCCTGCCTCTCTTTGTCTTTTATCTCTCCGGCTCTCTTTTTTGTGGGATCTGGGCCTCAGCTGTGTCGCTTTTTGCAATTAGCGACTTGTGGCTTGTTGCGCACAGCTGGGGCGCGTTAGTGTAATGACTTCCCTACATTATTTAAGCCTCTGGCAGACGCTCCATCGTCACCGGAGCATTATGTGACTTAACGTGCATTGCCAAACTTACCTTATCTAACGTGCATACCCCGTAACAGTTGTGAATTTGTGGTATGTATCAGACGTATTTTGTTTTCCACCGACAGTTCCTGTGCTGTGGATCTCATGTTATATGTTTTGTGTTATACGGGCCACTCTGACATTTCCTGTGCTGTGGACCTCTTTGTTTGTTTTTTTGTCCATGAGGTTAGCCAGATGTTGCTTGTTTTATCCCAGCTAGCAGTTCCTGTGCTGTGGAAATCCGTTTTGTTCGCCTTGGTTAGCCTGTCTTTTCACCTGTCCGTCCTCATCCTCCTGCTCTCCTGATTCCTGCCATCAGTTTATCTGTTTACCTGTTCGTCCTAGTCTCCTCCACCAGGGGCCCGTTTCAAGAAGGAGGTTTAACAAACTCAGAGTTTCAACAAAACCTCCTTCTTGAAACGGGCCCTACTATGTTTATATATGTACATGGCCCTTGTTATGTTGTTACTTTGTGTTTTGTTCCATTAAACCTCCTTTCTTTTTACTTACTTGGTATCAAAATATTCAGCTCCTGAAGGACTTTCATGCTTCTGTTTGCAATTTTTCTAAACTTCATACTTTTACACTATTTAGTTTTATTCTGAAAAATCTTGCTCCATTCAAATGAATGGAAATATTCTACTTCAGCATACCATCAGGTATTTCAGGTATCAAAATGTTCAGCTCTTCAATGACATTGCTGCTTGTATTTATTGCATCTCATCCTTCAGATTATTCAACAAAGAACTTCAGCCATTTCTTCTCAACTATTTTAACAAAGAAATTCAGCAATTTCTACTCATCCTTCAGCTGTTTCAGCAATTGATTTCAGGCATGTTCAGGGCGATCCTTCAGCATCACAGCATCCACACGCATTTTTGACAGAAAATGCATTTCTCTAGTTAATTTTGATATTCTAACATTTAAAAATACAGGACAAAATTAATTTATGTGATATGGGTCTAGACAAAGTATTAAAGACATAAAGTTATTTTGAGAAGTGATGGCATATTTCAATGGCAAAATAAAAAGCAAACAGACCACGAATAAACAGAAGAAAGTACATTTGCATGCAAACTCTCATAGCAGAGTAAAATACTGCACTTAACAAATTTGATAAATCAGCAGTTCAGACATTACAATAGATTGTTGTTTCATCTGCTGATATGTGTCTAATGCTGGAGTATGCAACCACTTCAGTGCCAGGTGTGCCAGGTGTGACAATGCCACAGTCTGTGTGCTGGTTGAAACAAACAGCGGAGTAAAAAAGATCGTCTGGTTGGATCTGAGAATCTGGTGAAGTTGTGACGTTGGTGTAAACATTGTCTGTGTGATCTCTGCTGGTGTCACTCGGCTGAATGTCCAATGAGCTGATGATGCTGTTAGTCTGGCCGTCTGTTTCTTTCTCCTCTGTTGAAAAGGAAGTGGCCATGTGCTGTGCGTCTTGTTTCTGGGTGGATGGTGTTGTGTGGACAGTGTCTGTGAAATGAAAACTGCTGTTTTTACTTTGACTTTCCAAAAGACAAATATTATTACAATAATATTTCATTAAATACAACAAATATCAGTAATAAAAAATAAAAAAAATAAATGGCCTTTTCTTATGCTTTTGCATTTTATCCTGCCCCAACATTTAGCTTCAAACAGGACATCAAATCTGAAATTTACTCAAGACTCAACTGCACTTTCTTAGAGCGTGTTTCATCAAATTATAGCAAAAACACAAATTTTGCTTTAAAGGCCTTTACATGATCCTTAAACCCTCAATTCAAATAAGGATAGATTCCCACAGACAGTTCTTTAACTGAGAAAGAGTGAGCCCCCCCCGTCCCCGAATCTGTCTGTTTGATACCAAATGAGGTGTTGATGACTCTATTTAGGTATCTGAAGAATATTAGAAGGACCACCAGCACCACCAGCAGAGTCAGCACGGCCACACCTAGACCTGCACTGATATGCAGCCACTTCTCTGAAAAAGAGACATCATGTCTTAGTGATGGTGCATCACTCAGGACTTCATCTCTCACATACACACATGTATCGACTGTACACACTTGCAGACAGTTGCTTACTAGTCGATGAAGCATTTGTATTGATTCCCTTATCTGAATCTGATTGTGAAACGTCATTATCAGGGTCCTTTACATCTACTGAAAGAAAAAGTAAAGAAAGAATCATGTTGTTTTTGTTTCTTGTCTCTCAGTTGTGTTTTATGCATGGTGGTAATGTCTCATTTCTTTCCTGTAATAACCACTGCTGCCAAAAGGAGAAGAACCGTTTCAGTCAGATAGTGTTGTGAAATATTAAGTGAAGGAAGTGAAGCAAATGTATTTGTATTGTAAGTGATAAAGAATAAGAACATAATTAAAACTGAGGCAACTCACCCTGCATAACTGTGAGGACTACTTTAGTGTATGTGTCCACACCAATTCTGTCTATTCCACACCAGTAAGTTCCTGAGTCCTCCTCGGTCAGACGGGAGATGGTCACATTGAATGTGTTTCCTTCATCCCTAATACTGTATTTCCCATTTGAATCTTCCTTCTTGTTTATACTACTTATTAGTACATTTTCATTTTTACATGGGTCCTTGCAGAAATATTTGACATTGGAAAATGCATTGACGTGAGAGCAAGTTATTGTGATGTCCTTTCCTAGCACTCCTGTTAATGCTTCAGTCTCCCAAAACCCTGCACAAAACACACAGACAGCAAAAAAGTCAGTTCTGCATTTGCAACCAGTTCATTAGTTTAACTGTATATTTTCAGTAACCAACCTCTTAGACTTATCTTGTTCTGTAAAACAGTGGTTCTCAATCCTTTAAGGTTTCTGACACTGTTACTTTCTGACTCCTGACACAGATTCATCTCTGCAATTTATTCTGGTTTAATTGTTTCAAATGAAGATATAATATATTTCACAAAACATAACATAATATAGAACTATGAAAAAGTAATTTTATGTAGTACAGAATTTTATGTAGTACTTTTTTTTTACCCTGGGAATCTTTTGGTGATTTGGAACAAAAAAATGTAAAGGTTCTCTCAAATTGTGCTAAAGCTCTCAACAGCACCTTCAAATCTTACAATTTCATAACGTTCTCCCAAGTTAGTAGGAGTTACTGGGAGTCAGGAGGTGCTGAGGGGCCCTCTATAACAAAATCAAGAAGGTAAGCTAAAACAACTGAGAAAACTCAAATCCACAAAGGCACTAAACTCACAGACAGAGGAAGATAAACAAAAGAGTTAATTTCAGTAAACTTACCTCCCACAAGAAAGACCCAAAAGAGAAAAATAACCTCCATGATTAATAACTTCCACCCTGATTTTATGCCTGTGTAATTGAAGGACAGCTCTGTTTTTCTCATGGGTTTGCACTTCCTATATTAAGCCAGTTTCGGATGTCTAAACCACAGAGGACACGTGAGAAGCATCAAAACCTCCATCCCATCTCACAGTGAGTGTTCAAAAGAGAGTAGGCCAGACACAATCAGATTTTACAGCTTGGTTTATTTAGGTGAAATATTCATTAAAGTAAATGTAACAGTGTTTAACACATTTCTGCTCTTCTTGGTGGATTTTGTTATGTTTGACAACTTGAGTTGAAATTCATGGCCGTAGTATCTCATTTTTTTCCTTGTACCATTCCAAATTTCACTTCAATTTACTGAAATTCTTTTTGTATCTGGCAGTTGTCAGGTAAGTACATTACACATTAACAGGACACAGATAAGAATACACAACCTATACTCACATATCACAGTAAAAGATATTTTTAGCAAATTAATACTGGAGGGTATGAAAGACCCCTGGCCACAGGTAGTCGGCAACAGTGCCCTTTACCTTTCCTCCTCATGGTATCACCTCATATTAACTACACAAAAGGTGTGATATGATAATAATTGCCCTGGCCTTCCTCAACACTTGAGACTCACAAAGCACAGTCCTACTGTGATGCTGTTTGCTTGCGATCTTACTAAACATATTCACAAGCTTATTAAGCTTGTTCTTATTAATTACAGTCAGTGAGACAATAAAGTATTAAAAGCATAAAGCAATAAAATGGCACATTATCCTCCAGAAATAGCAAAACACAGTAACACAGTGTTCACTACATTACTGATGACTGAGGTGATGACATCTTTCTTTCATCCACACACAATAATGCTGGTTTATTAAAACCTGGGTCCTATGGTTGCAGTTGTGGCTATCATTCCTATCAGTGATGATGACACTTTACTCACAAAGCTGCCTCAGCAGGTACAAAATTAAGATAACTAATAAAAAAAAATAGCCAAAGCTTCAAAAATCAGACCCAAGTTGCAAGGAATCTGATATTATTCTTGAGCAGTCATGTTAACAGTTAATCTGTGGTCCATGTTTAGGACAATTGTTTCCAGGAAGGCTGTGATAGACATGCTCCTCCACCTGACTGAGATCCAGATGCTGGTATTGGCAAGCATGTCCTGGTACGTCTACATCGACATATTCGCCGATGCCGAAAGTGACAGTGGACTCCCGATACTTTGATGTGAAGTGGGAGCAGAGGTCAGGTTGTGTTGATGATATCACGGAAAGATCATCACAGTCTGGACCTGAACAGCTGCAGCAGAGTTCAGGTTCAGTTACTACACCAGGCCTCATGGTCTCATAGTCAGGTGTTGTCTGTGAGGAGAAAAGAAACCCAGTGACACCCACCTGCTAACATTAGTTGATTAACAATACTTGCTATGTTACCATCTTAACCTAGTGATGGTGCTGGATGAAAAGACAGGGGCTCATTAAAGTTATTCCAGTCCATCATTAGGGAGCCTTGACCATATGTACCAAATATTTTGTTAATTCACCTGCTTGTTTTGGAGTGGTTTAACTGGCATTGCCATTCCTAGAGCTGCAGGCTGCTAAAATGGCAAAAAAAAAAGTTTCTGTCATATACAAACCTCTCTGTTCTGGTGGGGATCTGATCTTCGGAGTCTGACAGCCAGCAGAAGACCAAGTGTAAACAGACACACAAACAGCATAGCTACCACACACATGGCTGCAGTCAGGAACAGCGGCATGTTAATCTCTAGAGGAGAGAATGACCACTGAAGTTTACCTGACTAGGATGTACTCACCAGCTAAAATTAAGAATACTATGGATGCAGATGGTCACACACACACAAACACATATTACTCATTGTCAACTGTGATGCCATTGTGAAATGTCGGAATTACAGTGACTGGAAAATGCAAATAGGAAAAAGCACAAAATATCAATCTGCACACAAATACAATAAATGTACACAGAGATATTGATGTATTGTTTAGATTTTACTTACTGTATTGTGTGAGATTTTCTTGAGGGATTGCTGTTGTTAAAGGTCACCAGAAAACATAATTAGCTTACAAAAAACTGCATTTTCAGTTTTAATAACCTCTAACCATATGTGCACTTTTATAGAAACAGAAACTTGAGAAAAGAGGAACATGTACAGTGTGAAAGAAGTCACCTTACCTAGTTCTCATTTAAAGTATGTCTGGCCTGACGCTTTAGAAAATGTATCAGTTTCAGATACTACATCCTATTAAAAGTGCAAAACCCGAGGACCAGGTAATAGCCTAATAAGAACCCTGAGCTGTGACATAATATGATGTACCTTGGGAAACCTTCAGTTGTATGACGCTGATATGATCAGGTTGGAGGCCAACGTCCACCCCACACCAATATGTCCCGCTGTCCTCTCGGATGAGTTTGTCCACCTTGACGATAAAGCAGGCTTCAGCGGTGTTGTCGTACAGAGAGAAACGTCCATTATTCTCCCACTGGTTGTGATTGTTTGTCGATATCAGAAGAATGCAGGACGCATTGTTGTCAATAAGGCAGAGGTACTTAAGTCTGCTCTCCCAGGTGTGTGGATACTCACATCTGAAGTTAAATGGCTGGCCTTCCACACCAGTTACAGCTGTGGTTTTGACACTGATCAGAGCTGTCAGTCAGAATAAATGGTGTTAGGTGCACAATTGTTGTGTTTCAATAAGCAGCTACACCTAACTTGAGTATGTCATATCATCTTAAAAAGTCGAAGTGCATAGCATACGGCTCACCTTGGATTTGCAGCACACTAATGATGACAGTTGTAGTTGTTCTCCACGAGAACCAGGTTGCCCCCATCACTCCCAGTTTACCTCCAGTTCACTCACTTGAAGTCTCCCCCAGCTGCACAACTAGCAGCCTGGACTAAAGATTGAGAATGTGTTCAGTCAGGTGCTTTCATGTCCATATGTTTAAGCCTCTTCCTCTTTCAAGAACCTAATTGCCCACACAAAACACCTAACATATGAAAGTGAAATTATGGCAGCTTGTGTGACTCAAAAAATGACTTTTGTCTGTCTTGATAACTTAATTTTAACAACAGCATATCTAGGAGTTAATGTTTTCCCCTTAGTTTAAGAAATAATTCAAGTTAAATTCATTGCATCTTCTAGACAATCCCATCCTGTGCTGTAAGCCACCGGAGCCATCACAAACTGAAATCTTGGGATCTGGTAACACTTCCTTATTAAGTAGCTGTGAGAAGAATCAACATAGGTCAAAGGGCTGTGCCAACCCTAATGTGGTTATTACTGACCTACAAATGAAAAATTAGGAGAAATATCAGCAGACTCTTCAATGAACAGCTCTGTGAAGCATTTTAATGTCTTTCTTTATATGACCACTCAGAGGCGCCAAACTTTAATATATTATACATGTACATACGGTACAGAAAATGTCTTATTCCTGCCACAGGTTTAATAAAGTTTAAAGAGCATCTTCTTCATACTCAGATCTCATTAACAACAAATACACATTTAAATATCTACAGGGGTTCTGACAATTGGCCACAGACATTCATGGGCAAACACACACATGCTTGTTTGTCCTATCAGAGGACACTGCATACGTCTACTGGAGAGACGCCCCAGTAGAGCAGTAGTAACTACCATCTCTGCAGCCTCTGATTCATGTGGAAGTCATATGGTTAAACTAAGTTACATATTAAAATGTATTTGGTTAAAGATGAATTTATTAAAGTAACTTGTTATTTCAAATACACACACAAAAATATAGAGCATTTTATATATACAGTGCCTTGCGAAAGTATTCGGCCCCCTTGAACTTTGCGACCTTTTGCCACATTTCAGGCTTCAAACATAAAGATATAAAACTGTAATTTTTTGCGAAGAATCAACAACAAGTGGGACACAATCATGAAGTGGAACGAAATTTATTGGATATGTCAAACTTTTTTAACAAATAAAAAACTGAAAAATTGGGCGTGCAAAATTATTCAGCCCCCTTAAGTTAATACTTTGTAGCGCCACCTTTTGCTGCGATTACAGCTGTAAGTCGCTTGGGGTATGTCTCTAACAGTTTTGCACATCAAGAGACTGAAATTTTTGCCCATTCCTCCTTGCAAAACAGCTCAAGCTCAGTGAGGTTGGATGGAGAGCGTTTGTGAACAGCAGTTTTCAGTTCTTTCCACAGATTCTCAATTGGATTCAGGTCTGGACTTTGACTTGGCCATTCTAACACCTGGATATGTTTATTTGTGAACCATTCCATTGTAGATTTTGCTTTATGTTTTGGATCAGTGTCTTGTTGGAAGACAAATCTCCGTCCCAGTCTCAGGTCTGTTGCAGACTCCATCAGGTTTCCTTCCAGAATGGTCCTGCATTTGGCTCCATCCATCTTCCCATCAATTCTAACCATCTTCCCTGTCCCTGCTGAAGAAAAGCAGGCCCAAACCATGATGCTGCCACCACCATGTTTGACAGTGGGGATGATGTGTTCAGGGTGATGAGCTGTGTTGCTTTTACGCCAAACATAACGTTTTGCATTGTTGCCAAAAAGTTCGATTTTGGTTTCATCTGACCAGAGCACCTTCTTCCACATGTTTTGGTGGCAGCATCCTGGTTTGGGCCTGCTTTTCTTCAGCAGGGACAGGGAAGATGGTTAAAATTGATGGGAAGATGGCTGGAGCCAAATACAGGACCATTCTGGAAGGAAACCTGATGGTGTCTGCAAAAGACCTGAGACTGGGACGGAGATTTGTCTTCCCACAAGACAATGATCCAAAACATAAAGCAAAATCTACATTGGAATGGTTCACAAATAAACATATCCAGGTGTTAGAATGGCCAAGTCAAAGTCCAGACCTGAATCCAATCGAGAATCTGTGGGAAGAACTGAAAACTGCTGTTCACAAACGCTCTCTATCCAACCTCACTGAGCTCGAGCTGTTTTGCAAGGCGGAATGGGCAAAAATTTCAGTCTCTTGATGTGCAAAACTGATAGAGACATACCCCAAGTGACTTACAGCTGTAATCGCAGCAAAAGGTGGCGCTACAAAGTATTAACTTAAGGGGGCTGAATAATTTTGCACGGCCAATTTTTCAGTTTTTTATTTGTTAGAAAAGTTTGAAATATCCAATAAATTTCGTTCTACTTCATGATTGTGTCCCACTTGTTGTTGATTCTTCACAAAAAATTACAGTTTTATATCTTTATGTTTGAAGCCTGAAATGTGGCAAAAGGTCGCAAAGTTCAAGGGGGCCGAATACTTTCGCAAGGCACTGTAGATAGTACATTTCTCATTGTCCTTTAGCTTGCAATCTAAAGTCTAATGCACTGATTAGTAATCAGACTAAAATGTCTAAAGTTAAAGCTACAGTTTAGTTTAGTTTTTTTTTTTTTTCAAATTATTTTGTTGTGGAAATCTGCTCCCTAACTTGTCTTAATGTGGACAGGCACTGTCGAAGCCTCCTGTGATCCAGACTCATTGAACAGCACTGGCAGCAATGCAAAATTATAAGCTTATAAAGGGTTTTGAGCAGGATTGACTTTTCTAATCAACCTGAGACTTTCAGTTATTTCTGCTTGATTGCTAAGTTTTGTTGTGTCCTCATTTATTGTAATTTCATTATGACAAATATGTGAAGATTTGGGCAGAGCGTAGCAGAGCGCATTGCAGCAGGGAGAAGGGGGTGCTGGGTAGAGCAGTATGGACTGATCTGGAGTTTCATGCTAGACCATGGTGCAAAAGTTTGGGCACCCTACACAATCAGTACTTAGTAACACCTCCTCTGGCAGATATCACAGCTTGCAAACGCTTTTCATAGCCAGCTAAAAGTCTTTCAATTCTTGTACTTGGGATCTTCTCCCATTCTTCCTTGCAAAAGGCTTCTAGTTCTGTAATATTCTTTGGTCGTCTTGCATGCACAGCTCTTTTAAGATCTACCCACAAATTTTCAATGATGTTTAAATCAGGGGACTGTGATGGCCATTCCAAAACCTTCAGCCTGCGTCTCTTGAGGTATTCCATAGTGGATTTCGAGGTATGTTTAGGATCATTGTCCTGTTGTAGAAGCCATCCTCTTTTCAGCTTCAGCTTTTTTACAGATGGTGTGATGTTTGCTTCCAGAATTTGCTGGTATTTAGTGGAATCCATTCTTCCCTCCACCCGTGCAATGTTTCCTGTGCCACTGGCTGCAACACAACCCCAGAGCATGATAGATCCACCCCCATGCTTAATAGTTGGCAAGGTGTTCTTTTCATGAAATGCTGCTCCTTTTTTTCTCCAAACATGCCTTTGCTGATTGTGTCCAAAGAGTTCTATTTTAACTTCATCAGTCCACAGCACTTGTTTCCAAAACGCATCGGGCTTCTGTAGATGTCCTGTTGCATACTTCAGACGTTGGATTTTATGATGGGGACGCAGATAAGGTTTTCTTCTGCTGACTCTTCCATGAAGGCCTTGTCTGTGCAAGCATCGCTGCACAGTGGAACGGTGCACCACCACTCCTGAGTCTGCTAAATCTTCCTGCAGGTTTTTTGCAGTCAAATGGGGGTTTTGATTTGTCTTTCTGACCAGCATACGAGCAGTTCTGTCCGAGAGTTTTCTTGGTCTTCCAGATCTCATCTTGACCTCCACAGTTCCCCTGATCTGCCATCTCTTAATTACATTTCTTACTGTGGAAACTGCAAGCTGACAACGCTTTGCTATCTTCTTGTAGCCTTCTCCTGCATTGTGGGCATCAATAACTTTCATTTTCAGGGTCTTACACAGCTGCTTAGAGGAACCCATGGTTGCTGGGTGTCCACAAGTGTGTGCACAAGGTTTGAAGAGTCAAAGTATTTGTACAGCTTTGAAATTGGCATTTACCAATGACAGCTGTTGCTGTGCATCAGATCTAACGAGCTGATTAAGGTCTGATACCTTGTGAGAGACTTTGAGACTCTGGAACTCTTAGGGTGCCCAAACTTTTGCACCATGCCATAATCATGTTTTTATTTTTTATTTTTGTTCAATTTATGGCATAAGAAGTAACTATGCATCACTGTTTGCAGAAAATATTGTGCATTTTTTCCATTTCCAAGAGAAACTGTGTTAACATCTGTTCAAATAAAAAATCACCAAAATCTGTTATTTATCAAGGGGTGCCTAAACTTTTGCATAAGACTGTATATCACAAAGTTTAAAGAGCCTTCAAAGATTTTAAAACTTTTTTCTCAACTTTCTTCTGCCATCACATGCAGTTAAAAATGCAGTAGCAGAGCAACAAGTACCACTCCTGTAAAATATACTACAAGTATATACAAAGTTGGTGGTGTGGGGAAAATGGGAGAGGAACTACGTGAGGTTCACTGGAAGATATGCATTGCTCAGTTATGGAATTGGTTATTTGATATGGAAGAAGGTAGACTGACAAATAAAATATTTATATAGGATGGACAATGGCTCTTGGTCAAATTGTTGTACTGATTAACAATTCTGGTATTAGTGAATCTTCTTTTTAGTTATGAAAAGTTCAACATTTGTTTATCCTGAGTAAAACACAATGGGTTGATGATATATGCACGAAACCAAAACTGTAATATGGAAAGATCAGGTCTCTGTGTGCTCAGCTGAGATCTGGTCTTTTGCTACTTGCAGTTGAAACTGGACAGTTCCTCAAACTAGAAGAAGAAAAGTGGATCTGTTCAGTGTGCTGTTTGAATGACAGAAAATGAGTTTCATTTTATTTTCCATTGCCTTTTTATTGAGAAATGCACAATAACTTGGTTAGTAAAATAAAAATAGACAATGATTTTGTAAATATGGATGATGCAAAAAAGATGGAGTTGATTCCTTACATATGAAACATTTAAATTTGCCAGCTACTTGGAAAAAAGTTTGGTGAAGAGAAAAAAG